TGTCCGGGGGATTCCGCACGCTTGGTCACCCCAAAATTCATGTTATATTGGGCCGCGTTATATCGGGGTAGAGGTGTACCAATAAAAAATATTTAAAGCAGTGGTTCTCACCAGAGATACATGTACCACTGGGGGTACATCAAGTCATCTAGATATTTGCCTAGTTTTACAACAGGCTACATAAAAAGCATCAGTGAGGTCAGTACAAACTAAAAACATACAGACAGTGACTTGTTTGTACTGCTCTATATACTATACACTGAAATGTAAATGCAATATTTATATGCCAATTGATTTTTATGATATGGTAAAAATGAGAAAGTACACAATTTTTCAGTAACAGTATGCTGTGACACTTCGTATTTTTATGTCTGATTTTGTAAGCAAGTCGTTTTTAAGTGAGGTGGAACTTGGGGGTACGCAAGACAAACCAGACTTCTGAAAGGGGTGCAGTAGTCTGGAAAGGTTGAGAGCCACTGATCTAAGGTTTGCCAGTAGGCAACTACCCAAACCATCTATAAATAACACCAATATACATACAATTAACTATAGCAATTACGAAAAAAGATGCTTCAAGATGTAGACACCAAAGAGCTCCATCTCACAGCCACAGGTGGTGAGAAGGAACCGAGTGGCAGTTGGGCCCAGTCCACCCTCTATGCCCTCAGTACAGTAGCACAAGGACACTAAGAGTATGTCTACACAGCAAAGAAAAACACGCAGCTGGCCTGTGCCAGCCGACTCAGGCATGCGGGGCTCGGGCTGCGGGGCTGTTTCACTGCTGTGAAGACTTCTAGGCCCGGGATGAAGCCTGAGCTCTGGGACCCTCCCAGCTCACAGGGTCCTAGAGCCCGGGCTCCAGCCCAAGCCCAAATGTCTACACAGCAGTGAAGCAGCCCCGCAGTCCAAGCTCGCAGCCCAAGGCAGCTGACACAGGCCATCTGCAGGTGTCTAGTTGCTGTAGAGACATACATTTCCCTCCAATGGGCACTGCTGGCCAAAAGACACTGATCCTGAGCACAAGAAGCACATGTGCCCCAAGATCAAAATACATATGGGCAAGCAGTCAAAGTAGATTTGTCATCTGGCTTTTAGAAATCCTCAACTCCTCAGGTAAGATCCTGGCCCTATTAAAATCAATAAGAGTTTTGCCATTGACTTCAATAGAGCCAGGATTCCAGACTGGTTTTGCCAGGTTGCTATTATGATACCAATCTGGGAAGGGTTACAAGCTCTTTGGAGTACAGGATTAGAATTCAAAATTATCTTGACAAACTGGAGAAATGGTCTGAAATAAATAGGATGAAATTCAGTAAGGACATATGCAAAGTACTACACTTATGAAGGAATAAACCAATTACACAAATACAAAATGGGACATGATTGCATAGAAAGGAGTACTGCAGAAAGGGATCTGGGGATTAGAGAGGATCACAAACTAAATGAGAGTCAACAATGTACTACTGTTGCAAAAAAAAAAAAAAAAAAAAAAAAAAGACAAACATCATTCTGGGATGTATTAGCAGGAGTTTTGTAAGCAAGACTCAAGAAATAATTCTTCCACTCTACTCAGCATTGATAAGGCCTTAACTAGAGTATTGTGTCCAGTTCTGGGCACCACACTTCAGGAAAGATGTGGACAAATTGGAGAAAGTCCAGAGAGCAAAAATGATTAAAGGACTAGAAAACATGACCTACGAGGAAAGATTGAAAAAATTACATTTGTTTAGTTTGGAGACGAGAAGACTGAGGGGGGACATGATAATAGTCTTCAATAGGGTGACCAGATAGCAAGTGTGAAAAATCGGGATGGAGGGTAATAGGAGCCTATGTAAGAAAAAGCCCCAAATATCGGGACTGTCCCTATGAAATCGGGACATCTGGTCACCCTTGTCTTCAAGTACATAAAAAGTTGTTATAAACAGGAGGATGATAAATTGTTCTCCTTACCCACTATGGACAAGACAAGTAGTAAAGACCTTCAATTGCAAGGGAGATTTAGGATAGGCATTAGGACAAACTTCCTAACTGTAAAGGTAGTTAAGCACTGGAACAAGTTACCTAGAGAGGTTGTGGAATCTCCATCACTGAAGATTTTTAAGAACAGGTTAGACAAATGTCTGTCAGGGAATGATCTAGATAATACTTAGTCCTGCCTCAGCACCGGGACTAGTTGACCTATCGAGGTCCCTTCCAGACCTATAATTCTATGATTAGTGATTTGTTAGAAGGCAATTACTTACCAAGTTCTACTTCAATCGAATGGTTTTTCGGATAAATAAACTTTGGTGGTGTCTTCTTTGGGCCCTCTAATAAAAAAATTTAAAAAAAGATTAACAACCAGTGGTCATTACCCCTGCTACTACAACTGCTACACTACTTGTTTTACGGGTAGTTGACAACGATGTTACCAAGTACTCAATATTAATGCACATAAAAGTCATTTCAAACTTTCCAATATCTGTAATAGATTTTCTTTATTTGGTTAAAGGATTTCACTCTAAGATCAAACTAAGCATAAGATTCACCTTATCTGTAAATATGCAAACAATTTCAGATTTATAGAAATAAATCTATAGGAAGCCTAATACCAAAAAAATTCTCATGATACTCATAAGAGCAGTGGGAAAAAGGGGGAGGGAGAGGATATTTCACTGACATCTTGAATGTTCACCACAAATCTTTTCATGTACGTTTTATCTAGTAGAATAATGTCTGGACTGGAGCTTCGAGTGTGTAGTAATCAGGAATTGTATTGTTTTGTATGCTTTATCAATCACGGTCAGTCTTCAGCAAGTAATAGCTGTCCTCTCACCACAGGTAAAATCTATTTCTATTCTATTTAGGCTCTTATAAAATACCAACCAATGTTCTGAAAGTATCTAAACAAGTAGATCACCAAATCAAAAATCTTGAAGATGGAAGTTTCATCTCAAGCAGCCTTTTTTTGGAAGAATGGTTCTTGTGGTGTCAAATGCTGACTGACACTACAACATTGCATACACATATGCAGCAGCCATGACACTAGCAGTGAATTCGGATCTCAGGATGGTCAGGCAGCAAGCCTGACTTCCCCTTAGATGCACACAAGCACGTCTGATAATACCAAAGCTAGTGCTGATACTAAGGCAGTTTCCCCATTTTAGTATTTTAGATTTGCTGGAAGCTCAAGGTTTGGAACTAACTTTTTATTGCAAAAAGACTAATGTAGCTGCTAGTGATTTTGTTGTAGTCAGCTATTTTATGCCCCGGCCACCTCTCCCTCTCCACCATTAGTGGTTCTAGCCGATTCCTAAGAGCAAGCTGATCACCCAAGCCATAAGGAGTAGTTTCCCAGCAGATTTGCTTTCATGGTCTTCTCTCTCTCTCTCTCTCTCTCTCACACACACACACACACCCCCTGAGAGAGAGTGTGTGTGTGTGTGTGTTTGGTTTTAATGCATAAAACTCCTTTGTGGGCATTCCACTACACAAGTCCCTCCATAGTAACCATCAGTTTTCCAAAATCCATCATTTTTTTCTCTCTGACACCCAGACACTTAATTTCCTTTTCCCTTAGCAATTCTTCTTTTGGCGCCATGCTCTCCTTCTCAGCAACAGCTGGTGCTGCTGCTCACAGTGGCTGAGATTCCCTCCTTTTCTCCAACAGCCTCACAGAGGGAGAGGGGAGGAACTAAATTAGAGTGAGCAAGAGACTAACAGGGTAAGATGATGTTCTCAAGTCAAATCTGCTCCTACCACCTATTGGGAACCTGTCAAATGCCAAATAGGTCAGCAGGAAGACTGGGAAGTTGCAAGATGGGGCCTGAATGCCAGAACACCTCTAGCCAAAAGCTAAATGTTGGGCAGATCTGCTTCCCAAGCAACTATGTTTCTGAATGGCACACTGAGCCCCGAATCCTGCAGGCAGGCACTAGAACTGGTCAGAAGTTTTTTGACAAAATGTTTATCAGTCAAAAGATGCTGATTTATCAAAACTGAAATTGTTTGTGAAACAGGGTCCATTTATAATTCCCCGACTTGAAAAACAAATTAAAAGTTGCCAAAATGTTTTGTTTATGCATTTTTAAATGAACACTTCCAGTTTTTTTAGTTCAAAACTACTTTGTTTCAAATTTTAAGCTAATTAAACTAAAAAGGTTAAAGTGAAAAGGTAAATTGAAACAAATGTTTTGATTGACCCAAACAAAAGAAAAATCAGGGTTTTTTGGTTCACAAATATTGGAGATTTTCACTGTATCAAAAAATCAGGCAAAAAACTTATGAACCCCAAGAGTCTTTGCCAGATGGGAGAACTGTTCCCTGACCAGCTCTACTTGCCACATCCTTCTCTCTGCAAATTAAAAAAAAGTCCTAAACCCATCTTGCCTGTCCCTCCCCCATCTCTGCTGCTGTATTTCCCATCCACGTCCTTCTGAGCCAATGTTCTGTCCCTTTTCCTATTTATCTGCCCATATAAAGCAGAAAGTTTGGAAGCCATCACAAGAAAGCACTTGTGCTCCTAGTGCAAGACAGAGATAAGGTCTCAAATGTAACTCCTAAATAGGGTTACCATTCGTCCGGATTTACCCGGACATGTCCTCCTTTTTGTGCTAAAAATAGCGTCCGGGGG